TAAGGTCCGTAAGATCCTTTTTACTCGCTTCTTATTGCGTCAGTGCGGACGCAACCTTGACGACAGAATCAAATCGACGTTAGTAAATGCACAGTTAGCTCATGACGAAGACAGGTAATTCGTCTTGTTGTTTGTTTGCTGTTGTTTGCAGGACTCGCGATGCCCCGTGAAGCCTGTCACGGCTGCCGCAGCTGGTGCGCGCCCAGACTGCGCACGCCTAACGCGACCTGTTGGATGCCGTGCAGAACGGAACGTAGTTCCGACGGATCGCAGGCTGGTGCGTGAAGATCACGTGCGACGCTCGCTGGCGGCAAGCTTCTTGCAGCCTGCTGCGGAAACACCGCAATCTCACAGCCGCGGCCTCAGTCGAGTCGGAATCGGCTGAGAGCGAGGGGCAGCGGGAGGGAAAAAGAGGGGGGGGGAGGGGGAAAGAGAGAGAGACGAGGGGGAGGGAGGGGCAGGGACTGGACCAGCCCCAAGCGGGTGAGCAGGTCGAGAGAGAAGGAAAAAGAGAGAGAGAGCAAGAAAGTGAAGGAGAATGAGAGAGAGAGAGAGAGAAGGGGAGGAGAAGGAGCGAGAGAGAGAGAGACAGAGAGGGACAGCACTGGGGGGCAGCTTCAGCCGTTCGTTCGGCCATCGAGCCATTCCACGATGAGCCTATGATCGTTTCAGGGCGGGCGCACTCAAGCTGGACAACTGCAAGAAGCATGCAGCTAGCCAGCAGCACCAGCGCGCCCTCGAACTCGAGCTGGCAAGCACAGTGGGGTCAGAGGTCACGCCGGGGTCAGAGGTCACGCCTGGGTCGGAGGTCGTCCCAGAGTCAGAGGTCATGCCGGGGTCGGAGGTCGTCCCATGGTCGGAGTTCGCGTCAGATTCGGATGTTGCACTGGAGTCAGAGATCACGTCGGAGTTGGAGGTCATGCCGGAATCGGAGGTCACACCGGAATTGGAGGTCACACCGGTGTCAGAGGTCGCATCGGGGTCGTGGGTGGCAACCCCGCTTCCAGTGGTGAGGGCGGTTGCCGCCAGCAGTAGCGGCAACAGGGAGCGGATGACGCGGTGCTCGCGATTGACGAGGTAAGTTTTTTCAGCGTTCCCTGTGTGTCGCGCCCCCCTAGCTAGCTAGTGTTTGTGTGTGTGCATGTGTGTCTGTCTGCGCGTGGGCGTGTGCATGCTTGTGCGTAATCGTGTGCGTGCAGGTTATAAGATATTGTTTATACTATTTAAAATCTGTGACACGTGTTATTTGTGCAGGTACACGGCCGCAGATGCAGCGACGACTAGCGAGAAATTCGAACCGAATAAAAATCGCCTGCAGGCAGTGAAAAAGTAAGTTATATGGAAGTTGCGCTATTTCTGTATACACATATCAAGAGCTAATAATACCTAGAGTGTACAACGGAAAAACGGGAAAATAGTGCTATTTCACGACAACATTATTCTACTTTGCCTGCGAGTCTATGTGTAAAGTTGTGTAAAGTGTTCAAAAAGATAGGTGAGATGTCCACGTAGATAAGTGTTAAAAAGCCCGATAATTTTGCGTTTTGCGATCCATTTTTCGTGGGGACAGGTGGGGACAGGTTGCAGTTGGTATTTCCAGCCGACAATGTTCTATAGCCCTGCGGCAGTCAATGTACGCGGGCTATAGTACTAGAGCTAATGTGCGAAAACATATTGCGGGAGTCCCAAACTCTCCTTGATCCCATGCATTAACCTCAAAACCTTGTAAAGAATAATCTTCCCAGACCAAGGGGCATGAAGACAGGAGAGAGACAATGCACGCAGGCTAACGTTGATCAACTCATGGTCAACCACTACATTGAATTTATGAACAATGAATGAACACTGAACAAACATTGTAATTTGTACTGAAATCTGAATGAGTTTACTAATCTCTAGTACTCTACCATGTTTTTTTATAAAATTACGAGTGACTAAACTGACTAAAGAGTAAAATAAAATTCGTACGACGGCTGTGCATGACGAACCATCTTGTAAACTTCAAGTAGTAACTTGTAACTATCAGTATCAGTATCAGTATCAGCAGGAGTAAGATAATATAGATCTATATTATCTTACTCCTGGTATCAGTAAAACTGTCACTATCACCCGTGGCAGTGGCGTGGTGGGAGGAACGAACGCAGTTGGCTCAGCTGAGCTGTTACAAAAGCATTCATACAGTTGCAAGAGAAAACAATCACATAGATTTCGAAATTTTGACTATCACGTTTTAATTTACTTACATTTTTTAGATTAATTCACCGCTGATAAATGGTCAAGTCTTGTTTAAAAGCGCCGGTCACTCATCGTTGTGTACAGTTGCTTCGGCTTCAAGGAGGCTGCCATCTTTGGATGTTAACGTTCGTCTTTAATTCGGGCGTTTCCGTATTTTTCATTTATATTTTTTATGTATTATTGCAATTATTAATGTTATTAATTATCCTAGTGGATAGCGTCGTGGACGTGATAGGAGTAATGTTTTCGTATTTTTCGTTTACGTTTCATTTTTCCATTTTCATACGTTACCAACCGGAAGTTGCACAGCACGCGCGCCACGTAGTGGGCGAATCTAGAACTACGAGTAGCAAATGTAAATAAGGTTTAGTTTTTTATGCCAGTAGATGTGTGTTGACGGTTATCTCAATATCAACGAAAAATGAAAATGGAGGATTAGGGCAGGTAACCAGTTAGATACAATAATGTAACCTAGAGTCCCTTCAATATAAAGCCTAAAGGGACTCTAAAGTGAACCCAAACACAGGATAGGGTTACATCCTATCCTGTCACCTGTGTTTGGGTTACATTTTTGTAATTTTTAAATTTGTATCCAGAGAGACCGGGTACAAGATGGCGTTGCGCAAAAGATGCGTTGTTCCCTGACCGCGGAGAGCGGTTAAGCCGCGCACTTCCGCGGGACTGGGCGCACGCGACCGCTGCCCGCTATACGAATTCGCGCGCCGAAGGAGGGCGCGGGAATCCGTATAGCGGGAAGCGTAACATCGCGCAGTTTTTGTCACACGTAGACCGGCTTGACTACGGCGGCCTTGGGGGAAGGCATTTGCTGCTGCTGCTGCTTTGCTGCTCCAGGGCGCGCTGCAGCAGGGACCAGTATTTGGTGCTGCTGCTGGTTTGCTGCTGCAGGAGCGCGCTGCAGCAGGGGCCAGTATGTACGTGTACGTAGGATTAGCTATGTGTAAAAAGTGGCACGGCCACGCCAGCACGTGCTCGCACGACGTGCCATCGCCACCGGCAGCGCGGGGTCAGGAGGTTGGTAAAAATCTGCCACGTACGGTTTTGGCGGCGGTTTTGGAGATAGCATCTAGACCGCACCCATCCACATGGAGCGCCGTACCAGACTTCGTTAAAACCTCTGTGATAGACATGACGCTATACTTGGCAGTAGCCCACATCATCGCGTAGCGCCCAATAAGCGAGCGCGTGGTCGCTGATTGACAGCATTTCTTGGGGTTTCTTGTAGGAGCCACTACGTCTTACCCGTAAGGCACGCCACCCCCAAAAATGTTTAGGGGCCCGAAATGTCGGTTGGATTCCGCCCAGTTTTCGCGGAGTTTGTTTTCAGACCCCTGTCTAACATATCTGTCTAAGTGGACAAAAAGGGGGCGGCGTATTTGCTGACCTCTGTTTGACCTGGCTCGTTTAGCTATTTCTGACTAACCCTAACCCTAACCCTATAGGCTATATATATTATATATTATATCAGGAGTCTATCAATTGATAGACTCCTGACTATATATATATATTACTATTATTAGTCAGAAATAGCTAAACGAACCAGGTCAAACAGAGGTCAGGGGGACATAGACCTTATCTGCACCAGTGTGATAGAAGGCATCTCATAATAATATTAATATTACTGAATAATACTGTTTACGTCTGTGTTTACGTCTGTGTCTCACGTCACTGTCTGTGCCTGTGGCATTTTCTAAGGTCCGTAAGGATCCTTTTACTCGTTCTTTCTGTCATTGCGGACGAACATCGACGACAGAATCAAATCGGACGTAGGTAAATGCACGTAGGTATGGACGTAGATGTAATCGGTCGTTGTTGTTGTTGTTGTTGTTGCAGGACGCGCGATGCCCGTGAAGCTGTCCACCGTGCGTCAGTGGTGCGCGCAGCTGGACGCTAACGGACTGTGGATGCGCGTGCACACGGACGTGTTCCCGGGACCGGTCGAGCTGTGCGTGAAGATCACGTGCGAGCTGTGCGGCAAGTTCTGCAGCCTGCTGCGGAAACACCGCAACTTCAGCCGCGGCCTCGTCGATGGCATCGGGCCATCCGGCGTGATCGAGCGCGGGGGGAGGGCGAGGGGGAAAAGAGGGCGTGAGGGGAGGGGGAAAGCAGAGAGAGAGAGGGTGAGGGGAGGGAGAATCATAGGGCGAGGGAAAGGGGCGTAGACGAGGGGAGAGAAAAAGAGAGAGAGAGAGCTCAAGAAAGTGAAGTGAGACATGAGAGAGAGAGAGAGCAGAAGGGTAGGGAAAGCGCGAGAGAGAGAAGGACAGAGAGGCGACAGCACTGTGGGGGGCAGCGGTTCAGCCGGTTCGTGTCCGGGCCCATCGAGCCGATATCCAGCCTTTTTTTTTTTTTTCCAACGATGAGCCTTTATGATCGTTTCAGGGCAGCGCGATCTCAAGCTGGACCAACTGCCAAGAAGCATGCCAGGTAGCAGCAGCACTCAGCGCGGCCTCGAACTCTGAGCTGGCAAGCACGCTGGGGTCAGAGGTCACGCCGCCGTGTAGAGGTCTCACCCCGCCTGGGTCGGAGGTCGTTCCCAGAGTCAGGAACCGGTCATGGCCCGGCGTCGCCTCGAGGTCGTCCCGATGTGTCCGGATGTTCCGCCGTCCGGACATTCGGATGTTGCATCTGGAAGTCAGAGATTCTGCAGCTTCGGCTATGGTTGCGACGGTCCCATTGCCGGAATCGGATCCGTCACACCGGAATTGGCACGGTCCACACCGGACCTGTCAGAACGTTCCGACCATCGGCGGTCCGTGGCGGTGAACCCCCGCTTCAGTGGTCGAGTGCGCGGTGCCGCCAGCCGTAGCGGCAACATGGGAGCGGATGCACGCGTCGTTGCTCGCGACTTGACGACTGTTAAGGTTTTTATCAGCGTGTCCCTGATGTGCTCGACGCCCCCCTAGCTAGGTGCTACGTAGTTTGGTCCGATGGTAGCGCGGGCCCATCCTGTGTGCATGGTGCTTCTGTCTGCCGCACTGGTGCGGCGTTGCACTGCTTTGGTGCGTTAAATCGTCCGTGCTGTGCAGGTTATAAGTATTGTTTAGACTACTTTAAAATCTGTGACACGTGTCTATTTGTCGCAGGTTACACTCGTCGCGGACCGCAGATGCAGCGACGACTAGCGAGAAACTGTCGAGCCGAATAAAAACATCGCCCTGCAGGGTCCACGTGAAAAAGCTAAGTTTCATGTGATTGGAAAGTTGGCGTATTTCTGTCATACACTATACAAGAGCTAATAATCACCTAGATGTGTACAACGGAAAAACGGGAAAAATCAGTGCACTATTTCACGACACCATTATTTTCTACTTTGACCCTGTCCGAGCGTCGTATAATTAATTCATGGTATTGCATTAAGCCAGATTCTTTGCTTCTCTAAAACAAGACCAACCTGCTGTCAATACCGCCATACTCCTAGCGCGGGAGATATGGGCCTCCTAAACCTCCCTCCGCTTCTATGCCAAACGCCTCTCTAATTCCACTTCTTTTCCCCATCCTTCACGCGTCTAAGCAATTTTCGGCTATCGGTTCTCGTCACCGCTTGATCGCGCGCTGATAATTTGGATTTGTCACATGCCCAAATTTGCGTAAAAAAACTCCTTACTAGCTCGCCGTCATCCTGTAGAGACCTTAATTAAAAAACATTGCCCGCGGCTCCATCTATGACGGGGCCATTAGCCGTGCCTGGAAATGATAATGGCGAGATATAGGGCATAGTGCGATGCCCCCGAAAGTCACCTCCACCTCGCCACCTTGCACCCCGCAAAATCATTCATTTCTAAAATTTATGGCTGGAAAACCGAACTCTTCCACAGCAACGCCTTGACCGCGCGTGAAGTGATGGGACAGAAGGTGATCGCAGGCGTGCGTTTGGCATGTGGGAGCGGCGGAGGTTTAGGAGCGATTCATCTCCGCCTAGGAGTATTCGTATGACAAGCGGTGGTCCTGCTTTTAGTGAGAGCAGAAGCAATTCCTGCCTTAATGCGGAATACTCATGAAATTATTATAGCACTCTGTGCAGGCAAACGTTATGAATCACATGTTGTTTCACTCGAAATAGCCGCCTATTTTTCCCGTTCCTTTCTCGTTCTTGTCCACATCTCTCACTGGTATTTTTATGCTCTTTTGCACATATTTATATCTATATATATTTATTTATTTCTTAAACTATTCATTTAATTGCTAATTTATGTATGTAACGGTACTTATTCATATATATTATATATATATTACTTTTATATATATTATCACGGTGGTAATAATGACAAACACAATAAACCAATTTGCCTCATTATTAACCCCATTTATTTCGTTATTTTGAAAATATGTTTTATTGCACATTGACCTGCTCCTTGATTTCACACCGGACCATTACGTATCTTATTCCAGGATGGTGGACGTCGCCTACACAATGTGCCGGGAAAACGCCCCGTTCCGGATGCTTCCTGCTCTCCTCGCCCTTGAGCAGAGACACGGTGTCGACCTAGGTGGCGCCACGGACTACACCTGCCTCCGGCTCGTGTCCGCCGTCGGCGGAGGGACGATGGCCGAGGACGTCCGGGTGGCGCGTCATCCCTCGCCCGGACGCCGTTCTTTTCCGTTCGATATGCGGACGTTTAGAGCCATGACCCTGGCTCGACTTGGCGGCGCGGCGCGCGCGGCTTTCACAGCGCTGTACGCTAGATGCGCGCCCGGCCGGAGACGCTGCTTGCCGGCTGCTGCGCGCGTTGCGCGGGCCTCCGACATCCTTCTATTCGCCTTGTCGGAATCGAGCGCCTCCTGGTGGCGACGCTCGCCGCCGCCCGGCGGTCGCCGATCCTGCTCGGCGCCGACCTGTGTCGCCCGGTAGAGCATCCCCCCGCGTGGGTTGTCGCCGGCGACGCGGTCCCGCGTGGCGCGACCTGGTGGCGCGGCTACGGGAGAGCGCGCCGTGGCTTGTGGGGGTCGACTGCCTGAGTCATAGGCTGGACGACGCACTGCGCGAGGCCCTCGCCGGAACTTACTTCGACCGCCTAGAGGGGGCGCTGCGAGAGCTGCACGCGCTCTACCGGCGCAACCCGTCCTACCGGCCTGAGGTCTTGCGGCTCGCGCAGCTCCTGGAGCGCCACCTGGGGGCGGCGCGCGGGCGCGCGCGAGTCAGTCACGTCGTCGAAGCTTGTCGTCACCTGTTGCGAGGCTACGCGATTGTCGTTCGCCACCTGGAGGCGATGCGGGCGGACGGCGGCACCGACGGGCTGGCGGCGGCCGTCGCCACGGCAACGCTGCGAAGCTTCGCGTTCGTCTCGCACGCGCTGCTCCTCGCGAGACTCCTCGAGCCCATCGTCGACGCGGCGTCGGCGTGGCAACGAGACGCCGTCGAGACGGCCTCGAAGCTCGCCGCCGTCGCGCGAGCCCACGCCGCGATCGCCGAACTCGAGCGAGAGCCGGCGCCACCTGGCGACGAACTCGCGGCGCTGCTCGACGGCGGAGCGGGCGCGTGCTTCCGCGGAGTAGCGCTCGCGGACGCCGCCCAGGGGGCGCCGGAGCTGCGCAACAATGCGGCGGGGCTAGTCGCGCGAGTTGCCGTGTGCGTGCGCGCGCGCCTCGACCCGAACATGGCCGCTGGCATTGTCGGCATGGCCGCCATCTTGGACACGACGCTGTGGCCGCTCGGCGACGCCTCGGCGCGCGACGCGTTCTGCGTCGACGCCGTCGCCTGTGCCGCGCTGCACTTTCGCCCCCTGCTGGAGGGCGGGGGCAGCCGCAACTCGCTCGTTCGCGTCGCCTCGCGATCACCAGGGGGCGCCGGGAAGGAGGCGCTCGTCACGACGAGTCACTGGAGCTTCAAGGAGGAGCCGGACGATGACGGCTACCCCGACTGTAGCGGCGCCCTCTACGAGCAGGGCGACGACGATGGAGGCGCCCCCTACGAGCAGGCGGACGACGAGTCGGAATTCGTCGGCAGAATTCTCGCAGAGTGGACGGAATTCAAGCGCGTCGTTTGGGAGAACATGGCGGTGGGCGGCGGCGGGGCGAGGCCCGCGGACGTGTGGCCGCGGCTCGCAATGCGCTACAGCGCCACCTACCCGCGCCTCGCCGCGCTCGTCAACGTGCTGCGCGCGTTTCCCGCGTCGCCCGTCGCCACGGAGACGTGCCGCGCCGAGTTCGCAGACACGGCGACTGACTGGCGCGCGTCGATGCCCGACGCCGTGTTAGAACACATCGTGAGGATCCGCACGGAGGGGGCGCCACCGTCGCAGTTCGACGCCGGACCGGCGGCGACGAGGCTGATGGCGAGAGATCAGGCGGTCTGTGGCGTCGTGGGTCCGAGTAGAAAACGCATGAGGCTGTAGGTCATGGTCGTCGTTCTCGTTGATGTTTATGTTCTCTTGTTGTTTGTAAGTTTGCTTGTGTATCTGTGGTCATTGTGTAAAAGCTCTGGTTTCTAAGTACGATTGTGCTCAACGTGAAATAAAATTGCCAAATTATTGTTTTTAATAAAAATGTATGTATGCATTTAATTTTTGTATTAATTTCTAAATGGGTTTTTATATGCATTTTCAGATGCATCATGTATAATAATTCACTAGCATACAAGTTACACTACAACACTACATACAAGTTGCACATCAAGATATTAATTATACATATTATCAGTAGTGAATACTAATATTATTATTCACTCTTGATATTATATAGTTTACATATTTGGTGATACTTCTCTAGTTATTGAGATAAATGTTGTTTTATTATTTATAATCAAGCAAAGTCATAATTTTAACTATTCAGGGTAACAGATGTCGCCACGTATATTCGCGAAACTAAAGTACCCGGATGTAGTTGAACGCCCCGTCCTTCTGCATCTAGTTATTTGAGGTGGTTCAGGAACGACCGCTGCTAAAAAATTTCACCGTATCTCAGTGTCTGCACTACTGTGTCTACTGTAAGTATATACACTAGCACGTTTAATATCGTCTGCTCCTGTGTAATAGTAATGAACGATTGAGTGTTATTTTCAGTTTCAAATTTGAAATGGTTCCCGTGGAATCGGCGTTATGAGTGGAGACTTCCAAAGTCCAAACATTGACAAATCATGGCGTGACCTTTTTGTTACCCTCACACTCTCAGTGACTCTGAGTGTCTTTGGTTGTGTCTTCAGACTGCCGTGTGTGTTACTAACTTGTTACATTATTATTGATGCTTTTTACCACAAGTGCAATTGAGAAGCGTACTCATCACTGATCAGAATCTTGGTTGGCATTCATCTTCGCATCGTCAATCTTGTTTCATTGGATTGGTCCGAGTTTGAACTTGGACTTGAACTTGTGTCTCTACTACTCTAGTCAGAGTAGTCGCTAACCTCATAGCCTCGTAAAGATTATTGTTCAAAGTCCAAAGGATTAATATATCGAAGATGGAAAGTAACAGTTGATCGAATAGGCAGAGCAACACTGCAGGTCGCAGTAGAAAAAGCTCTAATTTTTCCAATTTTTCAATTGTGCTAGTAGTAGTAGGGATCCATGAAAACTCGGGTACTGCTGCTGGCAATACTGCTTGCGCTAGTTCAAATGTCCCCGGGAGAGCCCACGTTTTAGTTTTGAGATGAGAACACGGGTTGAGAGAACAAGTGAAGGTAGTCACTGCAAGTGCTAAGCTGATCAATTTGTCAATGTCATGCCATGATGCACTGCAGCATGAGCAAATATAGGCCTATTTTATGATTGTGCATTTTGCATCAGCATGCTGTAGACTTTATACGTTTAGCATTTTATACTCTGCAAATAACGAGGCGACTAGTGTTCGTTCTGTGACTCTGTGTACAGTCTGTGAAGAGCGATGTGTCTGTGATGTGAGGACTGTATGTGAATGCTTATTTCTATTCTAACATGTTTTCTAGGAGCTTGCTGATAGGCTGAAGTAGGGAAGGGAAGAAAAAGCAAAGTCAGAAACCGTTGGATTTATATTTGACAGTTGGTAAGATTTTCAGCTGTCTTTATCCCCCATCAGATTTAGGTAGAAACATTTCAGCGTTCTTCCGCACTGCATGAATTGATTTCTACTTTGCACACTAATCTCAATTTCTCTGTTTATGCTTTTATATTTTTCGAGCCTATAATTAACTAATCAACTAATTAATGTAGTTCTGAAAAAACTCACATCAGCATGCCTTGGCATTCTTTCAACGCATGCGACGCACGTTTGCACGTACCCCCGATGGCTTTGGTCACCCTAACTGTTTTTCACCCTCGTCCGTACTAACGCCAACTTCCCTTCAGCATCATGGAGTCGGGGAAAACGTACGTCGATTCGCAGAGCGCGCCGTGGCGCCACCGGGTGATGCAGCGATGCGCCATTCCGTTCCTGCTCACGTTTTTCTGCATGTGGTGCACCATAGCCGTCGGAAATCTCATCTATTACTATGCTATCAAGCCGAATCGCGCGTACTGAGTTGTCGCCATGGCGATTCTCGACGCGCCGGCAGAACGACCTCTAACTTTATTGTCGATAATATTTTCACGACGTGTGACGTATAGCGTTTCTAACATGATCTAGTCGACTAACAAATTTTCTGCTCGCCTCTCTTCTAAGCTAGACTGCTTTCAAGTTAACCGATTCATCTCGCACGTTACTATTATGCACAACCCTGTAAAAGGGTGTAGTTTGTAGTTATTAGGTGAGATTGTCTCTATTAACACTCAAGATGATTCTTTTCTACGACGTCTTTCTATGAAGTCGGAAGAGGTGTAAATAATTTGCTAGCATGCTTGCTTTCTGACTAATAAAAGAATGAGTACTACTACGGACCTTGCATGTGCATGCGTGTTTTGATTAGTTATTTCTTTTCATCACGATCTCTACTAAACTGCTTATCGCTTCTCTCAGGCCAAAACAAAATATAGGTGTTTTTACCGTTTCCCTACCGACCCTATTTATTCCCAGCGACCCTAAACATTTTATTGTCAATTTTCTTTAAAGTAAAAAAAAAATAAAAATATTAAAAAAAAAACGGACATGGTTCGTAAATAAAATGTTTCAATAAAATAAAATGTTTTCCCTACCTACCTACCCTATTTTTTTTCGGCATGAAACGGTAACCACACCTATATTTTGTTTTGGCCTCACCTGCCTGCCACGCACTCTCGCACCGCACGCTGTATTGCCGTATCTCATGCGAGCATGTCTGCATGCATAGCACAGGGTCTGTGCTGTGTCACCTGCCAGTGCCAGGGCGTTACGCAGTACTGCGCTGTTGCACCTTCACGACACGTTCCAATCAGGGTAAAAAATACACGCGAGCGATAAGCGATTCGCTCTTCAAACCTCCGAAATCGCTCCCGTGAGGCTCAAAATAGCTCCCGTAAAATTTTTGATGAGAGCTATTTTCTTCCACAGACTCGAAAAAGAGCTCACGTGAAAAAAAGCAATTTTTTGCCTGGTTCCGATGAGTACAGGTGTCGTTCTGTGGTTTATTAATCCGTGGAAGTGTGGTGCTGGAAAACGGCAGTTGTGTCCAGGTTAACGTCATCGTTACGGCATCGCGGGTAGGGATGTTGCAGCTCATTTGATGCGAAATGTGTTATGATTGAAACTTACTGCGCCGTTCGCATTATTACACATTCATTCCGTGGTTTCTCATTCGCAATCTCGCTTTTTTCTTCCTTCTGTCTTTTTCACTGTCCCTTTCGCTCTTTCTATTTCCTTCTATCTCTCTCTTTCTCTCCTCCTCTCCTCCTCTCTCTCTCTCTCTCTCTCTCTCTGAAACTTACTGCGCCGTTTGCATTATTACACATTCATTCTGTGGTTTCTCATTCGCAATCTCGCTTTTTTCTTCCTTCTGTCTTTTTCACTGTCCATTTCGCTCTTTCTATTTCTTTCTATCTCTCTCTCTCTCTCTCTCTCTCTCTCTCTCTCTCTCTCTCTCTCTCTCTCTCTCTCTCTCTCTCTCTCTCTCTCTCTCTCTCTCCCCACTCTCTTTCTCTATCTTTCTCTGTTACCTCTCTCTCTCTAACTCCCTCTCGTGTCTTTTGCTAATCCTCTATCATCCATCCCTCCCCCACATCATCGCTAGCTGGCCGATAACCCTCCCACGCGTGTGTGTCTGTATCGTCTGCAGCACCCACCGCCCACCATGGCAGACGGAGCAGAGCAGCAGCCCATCTTCCAGCCAGGAATCCAACGCAGCCGATCGTACGAGAAGGTCAGCTGGCGGGCGGGCGTCCTGCGCCGATGCGTTGTCCCGACGATCATCACCTTCACGGGAATCTTCCTCGCCATCGCCATTGGCAACATCTGCTACTACTTCGCGATCAAGCCGGCGCGGGCGTACTAGACGCGCGCTGAGCGGGCGGGTGCGACCGGATTCACTCGGATTGGATGCAGCAGGGGGGCGGGGGAGGAGGGCGTGAGCCCGGGAGGGGGAAGCGAGCGCGGATGCAGAAGAGACGGGGGAGCGAATCAACAAAGAAGTTTACGCGAGGGTCGTTGTTGAATTTTATATTAATCGTAGAAGCGATAGTAGCCGATAGGGCGATGTCTTAGCAGGGTTACTGCGTGCCTCCGCGATTCTGTTGATGCCATTGATTGTCGATTTTACTTTGTGATACGCCACGCGGCATTAGCGGCTGGGCGTCCCCGCACGTTGGCGGGCGGACCTTTTAGATATGGTCCCAAGGTGCGACGCGCAGCGAAGACGGTACAGCCATGTCAGTGATCATGTCAGTGTGTCAAAGAGAGAGAGAGAGAGAGAGCGAGAGAGAGGGCAAGAGAAGTGAGAGAGAGGGCGAGAGAAGTGAGAGACAGAGAGAGAGAGAAAGAGGGAGAGAAATCGACCGTACAGTTGCATCTGAAAGGCAACACAAACTGACAAATAAAAAGATAACACCGACAGGCTCACCGGTCTACGCTGCTGCCGCATCTTCGTCTCACGCACTGCTGCACTCGGAAGCCCTTCTTATTACATTCCAGTTGCGACATTCCATTCCACTATGTAGCTTACAGGTACATGCACAGATATGAGCAGGTATGGAAAGGTATATGCACAGGTTTATACAGGTATATGCAGGTACATGCACAGGTATATACAGGTACATGCACAGGTATATACAGATACGTGCACAGGTATATACAGGTACATGCACAGGTATATACAGGTACATGTACAGACGTGCACAGGTATATACAGATACGTGCACAGGTATATACAGGTACATGCACAGGTATATACAGGTATATATACAGATACGTGCACAGGTACATACAGATACATGCACAGGTGTATGCAGGTACATGCACAGGTACGCGCAGACAACCACGCGCTGCGATCATCGTCGCTACCCCCCAAAGGCAGCTAGACGGTGCGAATTGGTTGCGATGGTCCCAGCGTGCGAGGGTTGCGTACGACCATGGGTGGGGTCTAGCAGGGTGGGGTCTAGCAGCTGAGATGGGAGACCGTTCTGTCATTAGCCACACTCACTGGCTTTGTACCTGATACGTGTGTGTGTGAGTGTGTGTGTGTATGTATGTTCCAAATTGCACCTCTGGTTTGTGGATGGTACCTACCTTGTTTGTGGATGGTACCTACCTTGTTTGTGGATGGTACCAACCTTGTTTGTACCTGGCACATATACCTGGTACACACCTGGTAACACACACACCTGGTAACATGTACACCTGATACCCACCTGGCGCACATTTTTACACCTGGTAACACCTGTGCACCTGGTACACATACCTGTGAAGCGGTGTGTGAGGAATGAAGCACTAGTTGCGAGGGGAGAAGAATCTCAGCTTTTCAGGAGTTAGTCTATTTTTTGCACACGTTTATGATTTATGCGCACGATCGGGTTGTGGTTTTCACCCGCGCTCACATTCTCAGAGAGTGGGCGGGCGTCTGTCTTAAACTATATGTTTACACTTTAGAGAGGATGAGAAAGAGAGAGAGAGAGAGAGAGAGAGAGAAAGAGAGATAGCTATAGTATTTACAGTGCTTATTTTGCACGGTGATGGGGTTTACTAATCGAGTATCGCCGGATGCCTCGTACGTTGTGACGACGGCGGCGTCACTGTTCCTTATACATTCCCTAACGCGCGTTTACCGTTTACGACTTACCGAATACTCGTTTTGTTTATCGTTTTAAGAGATCATCGCTTATTGGCGACTTTTTCAGTTTTTTCGGCATGAAGAAGAATCGAGGTAGTCGAATGAATTACAGGTAGATGATTAGGAGTCTTAATTAATTACAGGCCGCAATTAGGGGCACTAATTACTCATGTTCACTGTCGATAGAGCTCCTTGGCGTGTATACACCCGTTGTGGATCTGGGTTTAGTGCGGTTGTGAGCGCACTTTCTGTTATGTTTAGTGCCAGGGGTGCCGGTTTAGTACACTTGCAAGGTGTACGCACCGTTTGGTAGCGTAGGGACCATGGAATAGTATGCGTTGAGATGCAGGCGCAGGTGTGATATGACTGTGTGTATGTTATAACGTAAGGCATGGCTCCAAGTGAAGTTGGTCTGTTACGTCGTTCTACATTGTTTATGCACAGATTTTGCGGTAATCGTGGCGAGTAAGCAAATTTGGAGTCGATAAAAGCCTGTGGTTCTACGATTCCATACGTGTCACGTCATTCCTTGTTGTTCTACACGTAGTTACTTGTAATATGCTAACCATGGCAGACAAGCAAATTTGGAGGCGAAAAGCATATATATAGTAGCTGCACAATAAAATAACTATAACGATTAAAATTCGGCTTGAAGTTTTATTTACGATCATCTCGTCATTCTACTTTCACATCCAAACTATCACATGATGCAAAGATGTGTGCAGAGAAATAACTTGAAGCATCTTGTTGGTATAAATGCAGTTTATTGTATCACAAAATGGTAACGTTTACCAAGTAACAAACATCCTGTCACAGACATTGTGCTACATGTCCACAACACTCAGCTGAGCATGGTTGGCCAAATGTGCCAAACTGTATTCTATCCATAGGAATACTACCTATAGATAAACGGTCCACTATCTGTAGGTAAATGGTACCTTGAACAAACGTAATTATTACTTTACCTGTTTTGAAACGATACTACCTGTGCGTAGATGGTATCGTAGCTTTAGATAGGCCAGCGATTACTAATCTGGAAGATAATCGCGTGTTTGGACGTGAAATAACATACATTCTGCATCGCACCAGTAGTACATTTAACATGTGTGATTTTACTCTCGATTACATTAATAAATATCTGCTAGGGAAACTGAATCGGTGAATCCCACGCAGGTGTGCTCGGTATAATCTCGGAAACACAGTGCAACCGAAGCAATAAACAAAGAAAGCTCAGATCCAAAACACATTCCACTGTACTCCCACTCGCTGCAATCGTCACGCTACATCGAGAGACTGATCTCTTATCGTCTCCAAGTCATCCATTTAAAATGTACACAGTCGTTTAGGGACAGCACTTGCTGTTGATCTGCCTGTGGCCTTGCAGACAAAGTCACGCGACTCACGAACCCATCGTTTTTACTAGATATGTGACATTAGTTGCAATCACATTAATAATTAATTAATTATTTAATTAATTGTTTACATTGTTTGCGACTTGTCAATTACCGCAAAACAACCTCATTGCGATAGACGATTGCAAACGTGAAACGCCGTATTGACTGACGCACCGCGCAGAAACATGTTTTAACGAAGTTATTACCGATTGTCTAGAAACCGACGATTGCACACTAATGGCCCTATCCACCTGGAGCAATCAACAGCTAACTCTAGTGACTCTTGTAGTTGCAATGGGAGCGTTCTAATAATGCTGCTTACAGTGCTTTAATAGTAACAAAGTGAGTCACAGTCGACAACCTGGCGCGTTTTCACGAAAAAACACGTATAAACTGGACCAGCTGGAGCGATCTAGCAACAGCGTCCAAGGAGAATGCGACTATCTCGTTCAGACGGATAGAACAATTAAGAAAACGCTCGCGCGCAAACAGATGCTTCGCCGTCGCTGCCACAGGCGACGGTTCGTCACTTCCCTCATCCCGGAAGCACCGGGGCAATGCGTCCGGCAAAACGCGGGGGAACTATTTCCATCACTACTCACGCTCGGCGCCCCTGCACCCGTACGGCGACATTCTCCCACACGGACCACCGCACCACGTCGCCGCCCGATGCAGAGAGTCCACAGAGTTCTAGTGTGACATCTACTACACGTGCGCTGCCTGCCTCCGACCCTTGCTCACACCGTTTCTACCAGGGTAAAAAATACACGGGAGCGATGAGCGATTCGCTCTTCAAACCTCCGAAATCGCTCCCGTAAAATTTTTGATGAGAGCTATTTTCTTCCACAGACTCGAAAAAGAGCTCCCGTGAAAAAAAACAAATTTTTTCCCCTGGTTTCTACCCTCACCGAATCCACACACAACCCTAATCTCACACCTGCCACATCAACCACTACCTCTGACCCTTTACCCAGCGATCGTCGTATGTTCGTCCGTCTGTCCGTTTGTACGACCGACCTATGACCTCGTCTTGATGTCACAGCCTGGTCCGTACAGCCCCGATCTGCCCCGCTCTGCCCGGCCCCGCCTCTCGTTCCCTTACAGCTCTGATTTGGGCGCGTGCTTCGGTATGAGCTCCTTCACGCGGTTGATGTACTCGTCTTTCTCGACACATCCACGGCAATCTTCGCCCCAGTCGCTGAGGATCCGCTTCAGCTCCTTGACTCGCGTCTTCTTAAAGTCTATAGTGTCAAAGTCGATCTTCTTGTCTGTGAGATGAGGAGAGAAATGGATTAGCTGGGCAGTAAAATTAGTTTAAATAGGTCCATTTTTTAAGATAATAAGTTTCTAGAAAGTAAGTTCTAAATAGTTAGTTTCTTCTTCTTTATATCTAAAAATTGCGTCCGTGGGAGAATAAAAGGCTGATTGCAGCAAAATGAGGGACTTTCCAGAAATATAAGGGACGCGAGGGAGTGGCGGACAGAATTAGCCGGCGGCAAAATTAGGAAGTATGTGGGTTGGGGTGGCGAGATGTTGACTGCAGTAAAACGAGGGAGTACCCAGAAAAATAAAGAGACGAGAGGTGGCGGCGTAAAAAATTCAGCTAGTGGCAAAACGGAAGGAAGAAGCAGCAAAATAAGGAGAAGAATCTGGGGTCCGTGGCAAAAAGAGAGAGCCCCGAGAATAATAAGAAAGATAGTAGCAAAATGAGTGAGACCGCAGTAAATTTAGAGAGATAGCAGCAAAATGAGCGAGACCACAGCAAAATGAGAGAGTCCGCAGTAAATTTAGAGAGATAGCAGCAAAATGAGCGAGACCACAGCAAAATGAGAGAGTCCGCAGTAAATT